TTTTTTTTTTTTAGAACAAAGTACATATTTCTGTTATTTAGGTTCTGTAGTAAATATTTCTCATTCTTTCTGGATAGTTAGCCCCTGAGTCACCTTCTCATGAGTCTAGACAGGACAGAAAATTAAGCTAAATAGTGGCTTCCCAGGGTTTCTCTGACACCTGTGTCCAGCAGTCAGAGAGACTTCTCCAGTGAGAGACAGCGTCATAAGGTGGGGATTTCAGTAGGAAGCTTGACAAAACTTATTGTACATTAAATAGTTTAAACTTTCATAGTTCTGCAAAAATACAAAGTTACCTGGGCATAGTCTGAACAGCCCGGAAGGCTTCTGATAAAGTTGTGCACATCATCTACAGTCCATTTCTGAATATCAGCCGAAGAACGGTTCTCCCCAAGGGCAACCAGTTCATGTGTTCCTTTAACATGAAGAGAGATTATTACGTGGTATAAAATTTCCATTCAGAAGGAGACGCTTAGAACACAGGTTTGTGTTTAGCTGTATGAACTCACTAATGTCTGTTATCCCAGTGTGCTCCATTTATACAGGCTGATTTTTGAACCCCCTGAAGATATTCAGACTCACTGTCAAATACCTTATTTCCCCTCTTAAGGTCTCTTCAGTGATGAAACTCTAAGCGAACAGAGAAGTTCCAGATTCGCTCTATGATCTCTGAGTGCTCACAGAAAGGCTCTGTGAACTTCATTTTCCATATTAATGCTACAATTCTATGTTACGTGATCTTCTGTGCCCATCACATCTGAACATGAGCCAAGAACTTCACAGTGAAGTAGTTGGTGCGGTGGCTACATCGGTGCCCTGAATTGACAGAACCTAGAATTACCTAAGGCAATGTCAGTGCAAGCAGTGCCTGGATCAGGTTATGTGTGGGTGTGTAGTGGGGGACTGTCTTCATTGTTAATTGATGTGGGAGGGCCCAGCCCACTGTGGGCAGCACCACCCCCTAGGCAGGTGGTCTTGAACCATATAAAAAAGCTGGTTATTATAAACCTGCCCGCCGGACAGCAAACAGTGTCCGCCATGGTTCCTGACACATTTCCTGTCTGTGAGGTGAATTCCCTCCTTGAAGGAAATGCCATGTGGAGTAGCAAGCAGGCTTGTTCTCAAGTTCCTGCCTTGAGTTCTTGCTTTGACTTGGCTGGTGGTGGCCTGTGGCCGGGAACTGGGGCCTGAGAACTGTAACCTGAACAGACTCTCCCCTTCAGTTACTTTTGGTCACACTTTTATCACAGCCACGGAGAGGAAGCTACGACCATCAGGGATACGCCAAACCTCTGTGTTTTAATTTTTTTCCTAAACAAATTCTAGAGCTATCCAATATGAGATTTTCTCTGCAGTGCAATAATGCTTCCAAAACTGATGGTATATGCTTTTGGTAGTTTTCCTACACTTGGATACAGGGGAGATAGAATTTGTACTTTAAAACAAAAGCCCTCGAGGCTGCAGAGATGGCTCAGTGGTTAAGAGCACTGGCTGTTCTTCCAGAGACCTGGGTTCAATTCCCAGCACCACATGGCAACTCACAGCTGTCTGTAACTCCAGTTCCAGGGAATCTGACACCTTCACACAGACATACATGCAGGTAAAACACCAGTGACCATAAAGTAAAAATAAATAAATAAATAAAAAGCAAAGCAAAACTAAACCCCCAAATCCATAACAAAATAGCCCTCTAGTTTGTGTTAAAGAAATTCACAATTAAATTAAAATTTTAATTAAAGATTTTCATACTTTCTCGTATCTATCCTCTCAATCTGTGTTGAATGGTTTTTGTACAGCAATATCAAGACTTGTGTTTCTAACATGACTTGTGAGAAGTGATATAATAAAGTGACTTCAAGAAGTCATTTAAAACAGGATTAAGAAGATAGAGGTGGAAGGGCTGGAGAGATGGCTCAGCAGTTAAGATCGATCACTGCTGCTCTTCCAGAGGACCTGGGTTCCATTCCCAGGCAGCTCACACACCCTGCGGCTCCAGGTCCAGAGGATCCAGTGCTCTTTCTGGTCTCTGCAAATGCTGCACGCATATGGTGCACACATTCACATGCAGGCAAAACACCCATAGGCACAGAATAAAAATAGATAAGTCTTAAAAAAATGGAGGTGAGAGAGAGCTGGACGGACGGTCTGAAAGTGAGAATGAAGGCCATGGGAAGGCATGGCTGTCACTGTTCCCTCCCCAGCGGGAAGACCTCACCCTGGAGCTGCCCTTGACCCCAGACACCTACCTGACAGAGGTAGGATGGAAACGGGCAGGCCAACCCCGCTCTGTTCATCGCAGCCTTCACAGCCCTGTTCAGAGGGCTTTTCCTTCCCACCATCCCAAGCCTTGACCTCTAGGGAAGGGGGTTTCATCTGGCTTGGCTGGAGCTCTCCGCAGGGGTTGGTGAGGCCTGAAGTCGGTTTTTCATCCACTTCCCTTGACTTCTGGCTGTTGTCTACCTCGATTTCTGGATCCTTGATGTCTTCTTCTTCATAGGGAAGGTCAGGCATCTGGCCTGAGCTTTTTTCTTCTGTTTGACGTTTGAAACGTTCAGTGTCGCTCTCTAGAGGTCTCTGGTAGACTGGACCTCTCCGGAGTCGGTATTTCTGGCCCCAGCACTCTGTAAAGTGTGGTCTAGTTGTCAGCAGAACAGGATTTCCCTGAAGGTGTCTGGAGGTGCTTCTGTGTAGATGCAGATCACTGGCAGGCAGTGTGCTCCTGCCTTGGAAGCCTGCAGGGCCACCCAGGCAACTCGACCCATAAAAGAGGGGTATCCCCAGGCCAGTGAGTCCCTGGGGATTCACTCTTTCCATCCTCCTTTGGTGGTAAAGAGAATACATTTCTATTTCTGCCCTAAAAAAAATTAATATAGTTTAAAAGACCCCAGACAATCATTAGAAATCTAATTCTTTTTTACATTTATTTATTTTGGCTGCATGGAAAGATGGTTGCATGTATGCCATCGTGTGTGTGTGTGGGGGGGGTGGGGTGGGGTGGGGTCAGAATACAATGTGAGGGAGTTGGTCCCCTGTGTGTGTGTGTGCCAAGAATCGAACTCAGGTTGACAGGCTTGGCAGCAAGCACCTTGATTTGCTGAGCCATCCTGGGGCCCTCACCTTCCCTAAGCTCTCCCCTTTGCTTTTCCTATGCTTACAGTGTCTGTCTGCAGCCTGTTTGATGGAGACAGGAATCCTCTCAGAGGTGGAAGGAGCTTGGGCTTTGAAAGTGGGGGTTTGGGTGAGCGTCATAATGCAAGTCTGAGGCTCGACTGGGGGTCTGCCTGTGTGCACAGGGCCCTAGCAGGTGTGGGGGTGATGTAGCAGCAGCAGTTTCTTGCCAGACACTAAACTTCATGGAGGTGTTTAATTCCGTAGCACAATGATAGTTAGTGGGACTCATGCCATTAGTGCTTGCTTGGTGGGTCTAGGTCGCTGCAGATGGGTGGGCAGGCGAGGGAAGGAGGCTGGCTTCTGCTCGCTTCACACCACCCATCGGCCTGTGGCCACCTGGACCCTCCCTCTCCCTGAGGCCAGGCCCTGTTCACCACGGATGCACTTTATTTGCTGCTGGCCACTGCAGATGAAGACCACTGTTGGGCTGATATGGTTTCCTGGGGACGTACCCTGAAGTGGAGTTGGTGAGTTTCACACCTGTCTTCAGGCAGAACTGAAGCCATTTAAGACAGAAACGGGTCAATGGAAAGCTATTGAATATGCAGATCTAGCCACCCTTAGCTCCACTTTGTGGAGTGCGGAGGTATATGCATGTGTTGTGTGTGGTGTGTGCCTGAGCACAGTGTGCACATGCATGCAGAGACAGCAGGAGGACCTCGGGTGCCCTCCTGACCTCCTGACCTCTCCCCTACGTCACTGTCCTGTTTCCTCAAAATGGGTCTTCTACTCAGATGGCAGCTCACTGGTTGTCAGCTAGGCTGGCTGGACAGCAAACCTTTGATCCCTGGGATTAGAAACCTGTGTGGTCACACCCAGCTTTGTGTGTGGATGCCAAGGATCTGACCTCAAGTCCTCACGTTTGCGAAGCAAATGTTCTCACTAAACTTTCTAATCCCCAGACCCCACTGTCTGCTTTTTAATATTCTTCTTCTAATTAAAAGACATGTTTGTTTAATTTAGTCTATAATGTTCCTGAAGTACTTTCTGTAAATGATCACTGCACGTGTGTGTATAGATGGCATGTGTTCCTCATCATATCTCTTATGTTCTTCTATTGTATTTATATGTATTTATTTAATTTACTTAATACAAGCTCAGATGAATTGAGTAGGAGATAAATAAAACAATATTATTAAATTACCTGGCAGTGTGATGCCTTTCAATCATCTCATTCCTTGTGGGCATGGCCTTTATGGGTTCAGGTGGTAAAATGCCCCAGCCTTGAGAGAAGAAGGAGGGAGGGAGGGAGAGAGAGAGAGAACCGCCCCATCCCACAATCAAATTAGAGACATAGACTTGAAAATAATAAAGGAATTCAAAACAGAATCTGCAGAAACCCCTAAGCCGGACTGGCACGTGGTAAATGGTGTCAGAATCTTACACTGTTTGCCTAGAACCTGATAAGTGCCACCAGATCAACAGCAGATAACGTTTCAGTTTTTTCTTGAATTGTCAGTCTCGTGACTGGTGGTCTTTTCTTGTTATTCTTCAAAAGGGAGAAGATGGTCTATGCCTCCTTGATGTGTCTTTTCTTGTCCTGTTTAATTACATACATTTCTAAGGTACAACGTGATGTTTTGATAAATGCTTACATTGGGAGAATGGTTAAATCAAGTTAATAACATATCTACCATCTCATATCTTTATTATTTTTATGGTGTAGACATTTGAAATCCATCAGCAATTTTAAACTATGTAGCACATTATTATAAATAGTGACTTACTATCCGGTATGAAACATCTCCAGAATGAAATCAGAATAAGAGCTAAATTCTCTCTATGACTTATGAGACCATATGCTATTTCATTATTTTAGTTTGGTTTTGGCGTACTGGGAACTGAGTCCAGGTCCTCACGCATGCTAATCAGGTGCTCTACCATGGAGCTATTCTATACCCTCATCTCAAGTCAGAAACTGCCTGGAGCACTTAGCTCTCAGATAACACTCTTGGAAACCCCTCAGGTCTTCACAGGGAAGATAAGTAAAATGGTAATGTTGCTCGTCTGCCGTCATTCGTGATTAAATTGGTGCCCGGATGGGTTAAGCAACTCCATCTTGCTCACACCGGGTACCTAGAAAGCTCAACCTAGGAAGCAAGGGCACAAACGGCGAAGGTTTGACCGCTGCCCAGGCCTCCAGTGTTGAGCATCAAGGGCACACCTAAGCGGCGGCCGCTCACACGGCCCCACAGACTGGTGCTGCAGCCGCACACTTGCCGCTCATACCTGAGTAGAAGTGACCCGGCAGCGGGTTTGGCACGTTTGCGTTCGGGACAACAGAGGATCCAAACTGGGAGGGAGCACAAAACTGGCTCGGATCAGTTGGAGCTATACTGGAGGTCAAGACATCTCTAGGAGGGAAAAAGGACACAAAATAAGAAGACTATGGCAGGAATTATACAAAGTTTACTGCTTAGTGTGATGATCTAAGTTCATTGTTAAGCTAATTGAGTTTAGAATTGTGTAGAAAATTGAGGCACGCTTCTTGACAAGTTCACTAGGGCATTTCAAGAAGGTTACTGAGGACAGGAGATGTGGCTGGGATCTCGTGGGAATGTGATGAAATCGAAGGAGAGAGAGAGCAGAAGGCGAGTGCCCCGCTTTTCTGGCCCGGCATGATGTGAATTATTCTGCTGTGGTATGCCTCCCCTGCTGGGATAGACTCCTCCAGAAGTGTGAGCCAACATCCGGGATTGTGGTCACAGCCACACAAAAGTGACATTTGCTTAGGTACTGGAGTTTTTAAGAGCTGCTGGGGCTCCATAGAAACCGAAGCGCAACTGCCCTGAAGTCTCACGAGATGGAGAAGTGCGGTGAGGAGGATTGGAGGAAGGCCACAGCAAGCAAGACAGCTTAGGGCTATCCTGGGGAAAGACCCACTCCCGTCAAACCATGGTCGGAATACTCACCCCGGCCATTATGCTCTGAGAACACAGTCGCCTTTGCCATCTAGGATAAATGTTTGGCCACCTCAGTGGGCAACTTATTTATTTACACATTCCATGAACAAGGACAAATACTGGGTTTTATCTTCAAAATATTCCAAAGAAGGAAACCAGAATGTTGCCAGAGTGTAAAACCAAAATACTTGTAATTGCCCTGCTATTGAAAGAATGATTTGCTGACATCCAGGGATCCAGATATTATAGACTTAGTTAGAGCAGAGCCTTGATCTGATAGGATTGGTTTCCCGTGCCCGGCATCTGCACAGGGAGGACTCAGGGAGGACACAGGGAGGAGATGGCATCTACACACCAGGAGGCAGGACTCACCAGAAACTAACTGGGCAGGAGTGTGATTTGGGACTTGTAGTTTCCAGAACTGGAGACCCAAGTGTCTTTTATTTCTTTCTTTACATATATATATATGATGGATGTTTTGTCTGATGTGTGTCTGTGCACCACAAGTGTGTAGTATCAGGAAGGCCAGAAGAGGGCGCTGGATCCCCTAGGATGGTGAGTTACAGACTGTTGTGAGCTTCCATGTGAGTGCTAGGATTTGAAGCCTGGCCTCTGGAAAAGGTGGCCAGTGCTTTTGACTGCTGAACCATCTCTCCAGCCCTAAACATCTGGGATTTAAACCATTTGTGTTTATTGTGGTAGCCTCAGAAGACCAATCCAGCAGTTTTTGTACTTGATATTGCTGCCACATTCCAGGAAAACGTGATTATTTATTGGTTAGTAGGTCAAATGAGCTTCAAAGGGAAGTAGAGCCTTAGATTCTGGAGGTTAGACCAGCAGAGTGCCATGGCACAGTTCACTGGGATAGCCCCGATGTTGTTTTATCATCTAATGTTAACATCGGTCCGAACTCTGAGGATGACTTTTCTTCGGATTGAACTATCAGACTGGAGAGATGTACCTGTCCACAATTGGAGGCCCAAATGGTGAGGGAACCAGTGGGATCCTCTGATGTCCTGATGGTGCCAGTAAAGGGTTCACAGACATCACTGGGTTTGTCATCAGACCTCTCGACTCTGAAGGAATTCTAAAAAGAAACAAGAAATATTTTCCTCTCTCTCTCTCTCTCTCTCTCTCTCTCTCTCTCTCTCTCTCTCCCCATTTAGGCACAGTGTGTGGAGGTTGTTCCTCAGGAGCTTTCCACCTTGTGTTTTGGGGCACCTGGGTCTGGCACTCATCCCTAGGGACCCTCCTGTCCTGTCTTCCCCAGAGCCGAGGTCACAATCGCACACCACTACACCTGCTTTGGTTTGTTTGTTTAGTTTTTTTATGTGGGTTCTGGGCACTGAACTCTGGTCCTCATGCCTGCACTTTTGTGAATTACTTGAATTTTTCTTAAACATAATGACAACTTTACACTTTCACAGCGCTTGAGAGGATTAACTGCACTAAGCTTTCAGTTATACAAAAACTCTCCCAAAGGAAGTGCCTGAGAATATCTGCAGAACTTGATTTTTATTTTTATTTTTATTTTTATTTTTTTTTTTTTTTTT